CACTCCCAGAGACAGAAGTCAGACAACTTCAGCACAATGGAGAGCTGCTTATCATCACTGACAGAGCCAGGCCAGCAGAGCCACCTTCCTGCTGCCAGGAGACAAGGAAGAAAACCTTTGGGAATTCCATCATTCCCTGCTCACAGCTGCTCTAAGGAGGCTGCTTGGCTGCTGAGACACCTTGTCCACACCTGGGGTCGCCTGGTCCACAGCTGGGCTCCATGCCGTCCCTGCTCTGCTACAGATCCCAGGATGTTCCATCTCTTTGTGACCCTCTCCTCCAGGCTTGGTTTCCCTGTGGTGCTCTCCCTGGATCACAAGGACAGCTCCCACTCTCTGAAGGACAGAGGAAGGAAGGAAGGAACTGAACGTGATGGACTCTTTGTGCCTGATGCACCCTTGTCAGGGGATGTGCAGCTGTCAGTGAAGTGCTTCCTCTTCCTCCCTAAATACAGCTGGGATGCTCAGCGTGGGATGCTCAGCATGGAACACTGCAGTGCCTGTCCCTGAGCTGTACCCGAACCGGGAGGAAAAGGCCAAGTCCCTCCTGGCTGGGACGATTTTGTGGATGAAGGACAGGGATGGGCACCTCTGACCAGGCTGCTCCCTGTCCCCAACACCTGCCCTGGGGTGCTGTGACACCCCAGCACTACAGCCACACAGAATCCTGGGCTGGTTTGGGCCCATCCCATCCCACCCCTGTAGGGCAGGGACACCTTCCATGATCCCAGGCTGCTCCAAGCCCCACCCTGGCCTTGGGCACTGCCAGGGATCCAGGGGCAGCCACAGCTGTTCTGGGCACCCTGTGCCAGGGCCTGCCCACCCTCACAAGGGCATTTGGGTATGGGAAATGAACGTATTGAAGGGGTGTCCCCAACAGCCTGTCCCTTTGTGGATGCCACGGTGCCCCTGCCATGCTGGGAAACACAAGGCTATCCCAGACCACATCCAAGAGGGAGAGAATCCAGCTGGTGAGGCAAGGGAAGGCTGGAGCACAGAGCTGCACCTGCAGCACGAGGGAGTGTCTGGAGCCAGAGAGGGACACTCTGCTTGTGCAGTCTTGGCTGTGGGCTGGAGGGAGGTGGGTGTTGGTCCCTTCTCTCAGAAACAAATGACAGCACAAGCGGAAATAGTCACAAATTGTGCCAGGGGAGGTTCAGGTTGGATATCAGGGAAATTTCCTCACTGAAAGGGTGGTCAGGGCCTGGCTTAGCTGCCCAGAGCATGAGGTGGAGTCCCCATGCCTGGAAGTGTCCCAAAGGTGTGTGGATGTGGCACGTGGGGACATGGTGGTGGTGCTGGGTGGCCAGTTGGACTTAATGGTCTTGGAGAGCTTTCCCAACCAAATCCCAGCCTGTCTGATTAATGAAGGCAGAAAGGGCTGATGGCAGCAGGGTGCTGAGCCCACCCTGCTGATATCACCCTGTGAGCTGAGACCTCCAGACAGAGCAGGCACTGGAATTTCAGGGGCATTCCCTGAGCTGTGCATTCCCCAGTGAGCTGAAATCAGCCCTGGGGTCCCAGGGGTGCTCAGACATGGAACCCTCCTGTCCTGCCCCAGAGCTCTGGGACCCCGGTGCCTCAGCCTGCCTGAGGGCAGCAGCAGCACTGACTGAACTGGTGCTGTAAAGCCCCAGGGAGCTGGAAAACAACCACCTGCTCCAGGGGGGAAAGGGTTAATGAACAAAATGGGGTGGAAGCTTCAGGACAAGGACAGGGTGGAACACACATGGAAAGTAAATCCAGCACCTTAGGGCACAGGGATTTAGTCCAGAAATTACCAAGATATTGAATTTCCTTCAGAGAAATCCCTGTGAGGCAGCTGCAGCTCCTTCTCCCTTCTCAGGAGCTCTTTTGGTCCTCCTGAGGGTGCACTGAGTGTCCCAACCAGGAACAGCAGCAGCCCCAGGCCTGTTTCTGGTAAAGGTCCCTGAAATTAACTGTTCCATTAGAAAGTTGCTGCTGTGTCAATATCTCAGCCCATTAATTCCAAGTGATGCCATAAATCCCATTTTTGTGACCATGGTTTATGGGATTTACTCAAAAGCAAAGAAAATTACTCAAGAATTCAGCACTGTTGCTAGAGAATCAAAGAGGATGGAGCCCAAACACCAGGCAGCTCCCAAAGAGGGATGGAAACCAGGGGAAGGCCAGGAGGAGGATGCAGGAAGGGCAGGGAAGAGGAGATCCCAGCCAAGGGAAGGCTGCACCCAGCTCTGACTGTCCCCACTCATCCCTCAGGCTTCAGCAGAACCCACCCATCCCTGGCAGTGCCCAAGGCCAGGATGGACAGGGCTTGGAGCAGCCTGGGACAGTGGGAGGTGTCCCTGCCATGGCAGGGGTGGCACTGATGGGCTTTGAGGTCCCTCCCCACTCAAACCAGACTGGGATCTGAGGAGCTGACACCCAGTGCCCCAAAGCCATGGAAATGCCAGGAAGAGATGGATCCTCAGGGCATGGGGAGCAGGGCACAGGGGCTGCTCTCTGGGATGATCTTTAGGGCTGTGGGAAGGGTAAGTGAAATCCAACATCTTGCTGTGAGGATTCAGTTTTTAGGACTTTTTGAGCTCCCCTGGGATGCAAAGCTCTCTGAGGTTCAAGTGGGACCCATCCTCTCCTGAGGGCTCCCAGGAGCACCTCCCAGAGAGCAGAACCCACTGCTGGCCAGCAGGGAAAGGGATGTGTGTGTGGGAAGGGACCTGGAGGCTGAATAGGAGAGTTTTAGGACCCTGAAGGCCCCCAGGTGCCCCAGTTCCCATCTGGGGGCCACCCCGTGACCTCCGGAGAGAGAAAATAACACCAGACACACACCCTGCAGTTTGCTCTCCTTAAAATCCCTTTTCTCCCTAAATCCCTGCCCTTGAGAGAGAGAATGCCCTCTTGCACTGTCACCCATCACAAGCAGGTGCTAATCAACGAGTCCCATCCAGCCCAGGCAGCAGCTGCGGGAGGGATTATTCCTGACATTCCCAGACCCCTTCCTACAGGCTGGCATTCAATGACAGCATTAAACTTATCAGGAGCATTGTTTGAACACCTCCAAACTCAGACCTAGGAAAACACAGTGAAATAAATCACATTTCTTAATGATTTTTATCACACTCTTACTGCAACTCCTTATTTTTTAAGGACCCCTTTGATTTTGCAATTACTCCAGTTTGATCAGTCCCAGAGCACAGGTTTTCCTGCAAATAATAGGCACTGACAGATTACATTCTCCACTAGAGCCTGAAACTCAAAAATTAAACCCTAATGGAAATAAATTTATTTTTATTAGCTATTTTAGCACCGAGGACAGATTGCTTCCCACAGACACCCTCTGCTAATGGCTGTGGAAGTAGAAGCAGCTGTTGAATTCCTCCTGGACAGGTACCAATTTATTCTCTTTGCTAATGGTGTTACTTAAATTCTGCCTCAAGAAGGCTTCTGCAATCTGTTTGTTTGCTTTCCTGGACCTTACAATGCAAAAGGAGATTTTGCTTTCTCAGGAACAGTTGCCAGTGGCAACAGCCAGGAGTGAGACTGTAAATAAAGCCAATTTAAGGTGAGATCAAACACAACCAGTGCCAGGTGTGCTAGTTTTCTCTGCTCCTTCCCAGCTGCTCCATTTGCAGATTCCAAAGTAGGTTTAGATTGCATATTTGGGAGAAATTCCTTCCTGGGAGGGTGGGCAGGCCCTGGCTCAGGGTGCCCAGAGCAGCTGTGGCTGCCCCTGGATCCCTGGCAGTGCCCAAGGCCAGGCTGGACATTGCGGCTGGGAGCAGCCTGGGATCATGGAAGGTGTCCCTGCCATGGAATGGGATGGGCTTTAAGGTCCTTCCAACCCAAAGCATTCCAGCAATTGACAATTTCATCACATGCCCAGCTGGCACATTATTATCTTTTTCTGCTGTCCTTCTATTAATCTTTTCTGAAGCTCAGAAAGCAAATATGGACTCATTATTTTTCATTTCCTGCATCCTTTAATTTTTTTTTTTTTTGGCATTTCACTTGTATTTAATTTCATTTCCTTTCCAGTACTTGAAGGGGAGTCAAACCTTCCCAGCAGGACCTATTGCAAGGGCTGATGGATTTAAACAGCAGCAGGGTCGATTTCCATTGGATATAAGAGAATATTTTTCACCATGAGGGTGGTGAGGCCCTGGCAGAGGTTGCCCAGAGAAGCTGTCATGACAATGCAGACCCTGAGGGGCTGGAGCATATCCAGGGAAGGGAATGGAGATGGGAAGGGTCTGGAGCCCCAGGAGGGGCTGAGGGAGCTGGGAAGGGGCTCAGCCTGGAGAAAAGGAGGCTCAGGGGGGCCCTTGTGGCTCTGCACAACTCCTGACAGGAGGGGACAGCTGGGGGGTCGGGCTGTGCTCCCAGGAAACAGGGACAGGAGGAGAGGGAACGGCCTCGGGCTGGGCCAGGGGAGGCTCAGGGTGGATTTTGGGGAAACTCCTTCCTGGAGTTTGTTGTCCAGCCCTGGCACAGCTGCCCAGAGCAAGGATGGAGTCCCCGCCCCTGGAGGAGTTTAACAGCCCTGTGCATGTGGCACTTGGGGACATGGGACAATGCAGCCTAGGCTGGGGCAGTGGTTGGGCTTTTCCAACCTAAATGATTGTGTGGTTTTCTGATTCAAATATAGTGATTCTGCCTCTGGAGAGGTGGCTCAGAGCAACAGGAAAATAACAGAGCATCCCTTGGGTCTGAGTGGCATCCAGGGGTGTGAAGGGCTGGAATCCTGGGGCACACCTTGGATTCTCCTGGCCAGTGACTGGAGGGGCTTGGAAAGCTTTGGAATGGGCTGCCCAGGGCAGGGGTGGAGTCCCCATCCCTGGAGGGGTTTAACACAGGTGTGCACGTGGCACTTGGGACATGGGTCAGCAGTGGCCTTGGCACTGCTGGGCTGGACACAAAGACCCAGAGGGCTTTTCCAGCCTAAACCATTGGGGATAACTCTGGAGAATAAGGCTGTTAGAAGCAGAGAAGGCAGCTGTGCCCTCCCCAGGCAGGCTCACCTTGCTGTGGGCCAGCAGCAGGCAGTTGGAGTGCTCGTGCTCGCAGGCGATGCCGTACTCCGGGAGCAGCCGCGCCAGCTCCTGCACAAAGCTCACCACCTCCCCGTGCCATGGCACGTTGGCCATGGTCAGGCTGCTGGCAGAGCTCTCTCCGCAGTAGGTCACACCCTGGGGACACAGGGAAACAGGACAGTCAGCTCAGCAACCCCAGCCCCAGCCATGCCAGCCACAGCAAACCCTGCAGCTGCCAGCTCTGCCCCCTCACACCCGATCCCATGGCAAGGTCACAGATCTCTAGATGGCATCAAAATGGGTCCCTCCCGCAGTGACACATTCCCAAAGCACCGTGCCAGGTGTCCCCAGCAGTGACTCAGAGGCTGGGCTTGATCCTGGAACACTGCTTTAACAGGAAAAGGCAGGATGATCCCGAGTGACCAAGGGACCTTGGAGAAGGTCACTGGGGCTGGAAACGTGACAAGTCTGGAAGAGTCTCATGGCAACCAATGCCATGTCAGTGGGACAGTCCCAAAGATCCTGTTCATGTGCCACAGAGCTCTGGGCCTTTTCCTTCCAAGCCCAGGCTGTGATATTTCTGCCGTGCCCTGCCTGTACCCAAACCCAGCAGGTCCCTGGGTGGGCTGTACCCATCCCATGCACACGGAGCTGATGGGCACTGGGAGCATCCCTGGCACAGCAGAGACCAACACAAAGCGCAGTCCCTCCCTGGTGGGAGCACTGGAGCTTTGGGAAGCAGCTTCTGGGTAATGTTCTGGAGGCACCCCCAGAACTGCCCCTCAGAGGTGACATCATTCAAGGACACCTCCCCTGCAGATCCCAGGGTGTCAGAGAAAAGGGGCTCCTGCTCCAGCTCCCTCCCCAACCCCCCCCAGCCAGGCATGGATGGAGAGCCTGGAGCAGGACTCGTGTCCCTCTGTCCCCACACAGAGCCAGGACACGAGTACTGCTCAGGGAGTGGAACACCTCCAGCTCTCCCCCACTGCATCCACCACCCTCTGCCTCTGAATCCAGAATTCTTGAGGCTGGAAAAGCCCTCCAGGATCACCAAGTCCAGCTTGTGACCGGTCCCCACTGTGTCACCCAGCTCAGAGCACTGAGTGCCACATCCAAGCCTTCCTTATCCAGCTACACCATTCAGGGACCAGTTACTCCTAATCTGGAGATGTCATCACCTGAAACTCCTAAATTACTGATTTAGTCTCAGCCATGACCTCAAACTTGCATTTCCTTCCTTCCTTCCTTTCCTTTTCCTTCCTTCCTTCCTTCCTTCCTTCCTTCCTTCCTTCCTTCCTTCCTTCCTTCCTTCCTTCCTTCCTTCCTTCCTTCCTTCCTTCCTTCCTTCCTTCCTTCCTTCCTTCCGCAGTGCATGACACAAAACTCTTGGACAGCATCCTTCCGTCCTTCCTTCCTTCCTTCCTTCCTTCCTTCCTTCCTTCCTTCCTTCCTTCCTTCCTTCCTTCCTTCCTTCCTTCCTTCCTTCCGCAGTGCATGACACAAAACTCTTGGACAGCACAGAACGCTGAATGTTCCTTGCCCTGTAATTTGCCCCACAGCACAAGCAGCTCAGTGGGTGGTGAGCACTCAGTGTCACCCACTTGGGGTGCAGACCCTGCTCAGCTTTAGGGTGTCTTTTAATGTCTGCTTGAAAATAGTTCACAGCCAGGATCACGATCCCCATCAATTGCTCCCAATCAAATAATTCACTGCCAATTTCCCACCAATTCATCTGCCATCCCTGAGAGGAGATCACACACCATATCCCAGGGCTGGTCACAACCCTGGTGCCCAAAGGGCAAACAGAACAAAGGGCTTTTCCTCCAGACACCACCCAGCCCCTCTGCCCCTCTCTCTGCCTGGTTCCAGCCCCTCTGCTCTTGGGCTGAGCTCTTTTATTCCAGTCACAAAATCTCATCAAGCACCAGCGTTTACAACACAGTTTTATGGATGTGTCTGGCCTGCTCCTGGTTTTCCCCCTGGGAAGAAGACTTTGACCTCTTTAAACGGAATTTGCATCCAGGTTCATGTGTGGCACAGCCATGGCACCTGCTCCAGCTGCCACCATGCTCCCAATTGCTGATTTACCTGCATTTCCCTGGACACAGAATATGCAGACACATCTTTGCCAACACTTTCAACCAGAGCACAGTACACACACAGGGCTGCAGGAGCAACAGCCTGCTGCTAATTGAGAACTGTACAAGTTTTGGAAGCAACTACTTTCTCACCCATAAATTTATGAGGGACTCCCCCCATTAATCTGCCCAAGCACCATAACTCAGAGCCAGCCAGCAGGAAGATTGACAGGCCACAAGCCAGGGAGTGCTCACCAGGGATGTACATTCAGGCTTTTTTAGGCCAGCTCTGTAAGTCTGAACCCAGAGTTGAAACATGTTTGTTCTCTATTAGTCAGTGTTATATCAGAGCAGCCAGCCACGCAAATCAGGGGTTTGGATCCCCAAAGTTCAGCTGGAGACACACAGCAATATTCTCCCCACACTCATTATCCAGATTATGATTTGAGCAGCATGAAAAATGTATGAGTATAGAGGGGGAAAATTCTTCAGAAGCTCCAACGTGATTCATGCTCTCAGTAAACTACAAAGGTATCGTTTACAAGCAAAGAAAGCACAGAGGCAAATGGAATAAGTGAGTGCTTGGCTGGCTGATTAATTCCTAGCACAAATCAATGGGAATCAGCTTCCAGCACACCGAAGGAAAGCAGCTTTCAACTTCCCCAACTTCTTCAAACTGGAGTTAATTAACAGCTGATAGCACTTAAAACCCATGCGGAGCTGATGAGGGCGGTCACGTTCTGCTTTGCAGTAATACATGAAGACAGTTATTAAGACATCAAGAATTAAAAAGGAAAGGATCCCATTGTTCACCCAGAGCTCTCTCCCCAGCCTCCCTGCGGCAGGAACAGCAACGATTCTGCCTCTTAATTACCTGCTTAATAAGGGTGCTTTGAGCAGCCTAATCCACAGAGCTCTGGCCAAGTACCTTGAAATGCAGAAGCCTTTGAAAAGCATCCCAGCTCTTCCTGGTTCTGCCAGGATGAATCCAGAGCAACTGTGCTGGGCATGCTATGGAGTTCACAGAATCATGGAATCATGGAATAGCTTGGGTTGGAAAGGACATTAAATCCCATCCCATTCCACACCCTGCCATGGCAGGGACACCTCCCACTGTCCCAGGCTGCTCCACTCCACAATGTCCAGCCTGGCCTTGGGCACTGCCAGGGATCCAGGGGCAGCCCCAGCTGCTCTGGGCACCCTGTGCCAGGGCCTGCCCACCCTCCCAGGGAACAATTCCTTCCCAATATCCCATCCATCCCTGCTCTCTGGCAGTGGAAGCCATTCCCTGTGTCCTGTTCCTCCATCCCCTGTCCAAATTCTCTCTCCATGTTTCCTGCAGCTCCTTCAGGCCCTGCAAGGCCACAATTCAGTCACTCCAAAGCTTCTCCTCTCCAGGTGAGCATTCCCAGCTGTCCCAGCCTTTCCTCCCAGCAGAGCTGCTCCATCCCTCTGCTCATCCTGGAGCCTCCTCTGGGCTCCTCCAGCAGCTCCAGCTCCTGCCTGTGCTGGGCCCAGGGCTGATTTTCAGCTGTAATGGAGCTGAGTGAGCTCCGAGCCTATGCCAGGCCTATTGCTGCTGCTGTGGGAAGCAAGGGAAGCACATTCCTGCCCCAAGGACCTGGCTGCTGCCCCGGGATGCACACAGCCAGCAATCCCTTCAATCCCCAGGGCTCTGAAGGAAACAACTACAGCTGACAGTGCTTTGTTTCTCCACTCACACTCCAGACTTCCCGATTTAATTACTGAACAAAACAATTCTCTTCACTCCGGGCCCACAAATTATAAATTTAATTGAGGCTCGTACAAATTAGCAGAGAACAAAGTGTAGGCCAAGCTGCTGAGTGACAGAGACGCTGTTTAAAATTCGGGCCAGCCGTGACCCCAGACAAATATAAAAAGCCTCAATGCCACGTTGATTGCCATCTCTGCACTGAAAACACTCCTGAGCTGAGCAGCAGCACTCCCCAAATTACTGCCCCAAAGCCTCACACACGTCTGCTCCTGCTGCAGTGGGTTCAGCCAGGATTCAACTCCTTGGCTGCTTTTAATCACCAAGTTGCTTCAAGTTGATTTAACAAAGGCCATCAGCCCTTTGTGCCACCTCAGTCTGCAGGTAGGACTGAGGATGGTTGGTTGTACAGCACAGCCCCAGTATCCCCCAGCAGCTCTCCAGACCCCCCACACCTGCAGAGGGTGCTGCACTGCCTGGAAATGGGCAGAGATTCCCTGGAAGTGAAAGCAACTCCTCCCGGGAAAGCTGAACTCAAACACAGGACCAGCCTCTCACCCCAGCTCTCCACATGAGCCCTGTGAGGATGGAGAGAGGAACAGCCACTGCTGAGCCACCCCCTCAGCTCCAGGGTCACAACCATGGAATTATCCTGGGTGGAAAAGTCCTCCAGGACCACCGGGTCCAACCTGGGACTGATCAGCTGGAGAAAAGGAGGCTCAGGGGGGCCCTTGTGGCTCTGCACAGCTCCTGACAGGAGGGGACAGCCGGGGGGTCGGGCTGTGCTCCCAGGGAACAGGGACAGGAGGAGAGGGCTGGGCCAGAGCAGGGGCAGGGTGGGCATCAGGGAAAATTTCTTCATGGAAGGGATGGTCAGGCTTTGGAAGGGGCTGCCAGGGAGGTTTGGAGTCCCCATCCCTGGCAGGATTTAACACCTGGGAACACTGGCAGTGCTGGGAGTGTTGGATTCAGTCCTGCAGGTCCATCCCAACCCAAATGATTCTGTGATTCTCTAACAGCAAGTGTCCAGTGCTAGTCTTTTTTCAGGTGTGGAAATCATACATTGTTTGGGTTTATTCACAGCAGGCACCAGAATGGGTGATCCAGCTTCACCTCTTCATCTAAATTCCAGCTGGGATGGTAGCAGGATCCTGAATGGGTGTTGGACAGGTGGGGGCAATCGCCTCTTGCTGCATGCAATTAAAAACTCATTAAGGCACAGCTCATTTTCCTCATTATTTTAAGCAATTAAACAGTCTTTACTGTTTAACTTGACAAGAGTGAGCAGACTGGGACAGACACCTCCCCCTGGCCCTTCCTTGCACACATTTGCTTGGTCATTTCAATTCTGCAGCCAAGCCTCAGGTACCAGAGCAGGAGCTGCAGTCCCAGAGCAGCAGCCTGAGCTGGGCTGGACACTGAGATTATCCAACTACATGAAAAAAATCAGCAGGGAAAGAGCTTCCTAGTGGCTGAAAACCTTCACAAAGGCTTGGGAAGATTCTGTGCCATGACCTGGATCCCTGCTGTGCCCCAGTCCTGCCCTCAGACACCATGCCATGGACAGCCCTGGGACAAAGAGCCAGCCTGGCAGCTTTGGGTTTCTTCCTTAAATTCTGAAGGACAGGGGGAAGCAGGAAGGCTCTGCTCAGGCTGGAGCTCACACCACTGCTGTGAGCTGGGTGCCAAAGCTTCACCCTGCCCAGAGCAGCTGTGGCTGCCCCTGGATCCCTGAGAGTGCCCAAGGCCAGGTTGGACACTGGGGCTTGGAGCAGCCTGGGACAGTGGAAGGTGTCCCTGCCATGGCAGGGGTGGCACTGGATGAGCTTTAATGTCCCTTTCAACCCAAACCATTCCATGATTCTAGAATTCAGCAAGGACAGACTCCTAAGACCAAATCCGGTCACTGACCCAGCACTGCTGAGGCCACCCTAACCCATGTCCCCAAGTGCCATGTCCAGTCATCTTTCACATCCCTCCAGGGATGGGGACTCCACCACTGCCCTGGGCAGCTGTGCCAGGGCCTGGCCTCCCTTTCAGTGAAAGAATTTTCCCAAAATCCACCCCGATCCTCCCCTGGCCCAGCCCGAGGCCATTCCCTCTCCTCCTGTCCCTGTTCCCTGGAGCACAGCCCGACCCCCCGGCTGTCCCCTCCTGTCAGGAGTTGTGCAGAGCCACAAGGGCCCCCCTGAGCCTCCTTTTCTCCAGGCTGAGCCCCTTCCCAGCTCCCTCAGCTGCTCCTGGGGCTCCAGCCCCTTCCCAGCTCCATTCCCTTCCCTGGACACAAAAATGCTGCACATCAAAGAAACCTCTGGCTTTCATGGAACCCCAAGAGGGTACCATGGGAAGAAAAGGAGTTCTGGCACATTCCAGACTTAAGTACAACCATCAGCTCTGTACAAGTGTGACAGTGACACACTGGCATTAGAACAGATTAAGGCAATAAATCAATTTGATGCATTTTTAATGACTGAGTCTCCCTTTACTATTGGCTTAAGTGGGAGAATGGGGTCCCACAGAGTTACAGCACTGTGAGGCACTCATGGAAATGAGAACAAGGATTAAGCCCTGCAAGAATCTAAATCTCTCTCCATCCACCCCATGAGGCTCTCTGGAGCAACGCTGGATTAGCTGCCTTCATCTGAAATGGATGTCATTTATCCCAAGTCTTCAGCCAGAAAATCCCCAGGCCCAGCCCCACTGTCAGGCAGAGCTTTGCAGAATGTCCCCATCACTCTGAGGGTTGGTTTGAGCACCACCTGGTCCTTGGATTTTACCCTGGCACACTGAGGGGCTGGAGAAAGGAATGCTGAGGCCTATCCACACCCCAAATATGCTTTGTTCCCAAAGGAACACAAAAAATGATTTTCAATCAAAAAGACCAGGTCTTTTGGGGAAAATTGCCAAGTCCCAAATTCTGTGTGATCAGCACAGTGTGAGACTGGACCCCCAGTGACACCATCCCACTGCTGGATTCTGGGCATGTCACCCAGCCCCTCTCTGTCCCAGCTCACAGGGGATCTGTGTTCAGAGCTCACAGAACAGGGTTCAGAGATCCAGGAATATCTCTGTGATGAATATCCCTGTCCCAGCTCCCACAAACAGGGTTCAGAGATCCATGAACATCCCTGTCCCAGCTCCCACAAACAGGGTTCAGAGATCCAGGAATATCCCTGTTCCAGCTCCCACAAACAGGGTTCAGAGATCCATGAATATCCTTGTCCCAGCTCCCACAAACAGGGTTCAGAGATCCAGGAATATCCCTGTGATGAATATCCCTGTTCCAGCTCCCACAGACAGGGTTCAGAGATCAGATAAATCCCTGTCCCAGCTGGAAGAGCACCAGGAGTACACCTGTGACCACTCATGTGTTTCCTTGGCAGAGCAAGGCAGGATTTTTCCAGGGCAGAACTCTGGGAAAGCAGGATTGTGACACTGTGAGGCAGAAGGAAGAGCAGCCCGTGCCTTGCAGGGACAGATGTCTGCCCTGGACATTTCCTGGGGGAATCCCTGCTGGAACATCAACTGGCACCTCCTCATCTCACTAATTAACATTAATGCCCCGGGCAGAGCAGCCTCAGCAGCACCAGGCCCACAGACTCTGCTCCATCCCTGCCCTCCCCTCCCTGGCAGGATCCTGCACAGCCAGGGAAGATGGAAAACCGAGGGGTTTTCCCCAAACCAAACTCCAAACCCAAGCTGGGATGAAGCTCCCAACTTCAGCAGCACACCCAGAGAGAAAAACTCTCCATGCTGACAGAAGGTCAAACCTTCACAGCAAAATCCAGGCTTTTTCTTCATAGCAGCAGTAAAAAAAGGTTGAAAAAAATTTAAAAAAAAGGTTAAAAAATGAAAGAAAGCTTGAAAAAATTATACAAGAGAAGGAAATGAGAAAAGAAAAAAGAGAGTCCAGGAGCAACAGAATGCACAAACAGAGTTGCACAAACAGCTGTGCTGCTCTGCAGGAGCTGCTGGGTGAGAATGCTCAGAGCACGTGGGAAGATGCCTTTTTTACAAGTTTGTAACTTTTTTTACAGTCTATATTTACTGAATTTATTAAGCCACGATAAAGTCCCTCCTCCCTGCTGTATCTCACATCTGCTGGCTGGCAGCCCTCAAACCCAGCCAAACACAAACATATCACTGAACCTTTCACCTTTCCCCTGGCAAAACTCGAGACCAGGATGGGAAGAATCCTACCCCAAACTACCAGCTGAACCTGGAATATTTTGTTTCAACTGATAGCTGACATAAAGAAGGAATATCTATTTATCTTTGTTTTCACAGAAATACAAAAAAAGGCCAGAGAGTGATGAATCTGTTGGGCAGAAATCAAGGCTGGCTGGTACAAAGTTTGGTTTGTGGCACAGGGAAACCTGCTCCACAGGTACATACAGGATACTAGAAAACATCACCTGAATGTGAATTATTGTTCACTAATACTAAAAGCAAGAGAGGAGTTTCTTATGCATCACTTCAGAAGAATTTTACTTACTCAGAAAGTTTAGACTAAAGGCAGGGGGGAAATGGGGACAAAACAACGGAAAACAGTGCTGGAAAAACTAAAACAGCTCCATGCAGCTCACCTTGACCTCAATGAAGTCTGGTTTCCCAAGGGATATCAGGTCAGCATAAGCTTTGAGTTCATCCACGTTCCAAGCTTTCACCAGGGTCAGCCTATAAACTGTGCGCTGTTGCTGGAACAAAGGAAAAATCCTATTAACATCCCATGCTGACCCAGGAATGAAGGAAAAATCACAGTGACATCCCATTCTCACCCAGGAACAAAGTAAAAATCCCACTGACATCTCATTTTGACCCAGGAAAGATGTTCCAGTCTTGCACACAGATTCAAACAGGAGAAAGAAATTAAATCGTTATTTTATTCCAAGAACTCAGAGATTGAAGCAAACCTGTTCCTTTAGGAAATCTGCCCTGTTCACCTGGGCTGAGCCAGCTGGTGCCACACAAATCCTCCCTCTGCAGACCTCAGAGCCCAGACATTTTGTTTGTACAGGAGTTTAACTCACTGGCACAATAAGCAGGAAATATCTGTCTCTCCTGGATTTGCTTCCCCAGGCACAAAACCTCCCCGTGAGTTACAGGTGTTTCATGCCTCCAGCTGGATCATCTGCACAGGGGACCCTCACAGAAACACGGAAGGATTTATGTTGGAAAAGCCCTCAAAACATCGAGTCCAACCTTGACCCAGCAGTGCCAAGGCCACCACTGAGCCATGGCCCCAGGTGCCACATGTACAGGGCTGTTAAACCCCTCCATCACCTCCTACACAGCCTGGTTCTGTGTCTGACAACCTTTCCATGAGAAATTTTCCCAAAATCCACCCTGAGCCTCCCCTGGCCCAGCCCGAGGCCGTTCCCTCTCCTCCTGTCCCTGTTCCCTGGGAGCACAGCCCGACACCCCTGGTTGTCCCCTCCAAGGGGAGATGTGGAGAACATTCCCAGATCCAACTCCCTCCTGGGAAGGGGACAGAGTTTCTCTGCTTGGAGTTATTCTCATTTGCCCTCCAAGGGCTGCTCTCCAAAGGAGACACTAGTGACAAAAGGCCTCTCAACACAAGCACTTGACCATGGAACAAATCCACTCCTCACTCCTCACATCCGCTTGCTTCCATCCTTCCCCTCCCCTTCATCTTCTACTGATGTTTTATTTCACTTATTTTTGGAATTTATTTTTATTTATAGAGCAATTTTTCTGGCAAATCTGCAGTTTAGATGAACTCCTTTGCTGTCTCTGCACACTGTGGACTGGAAAATGTAAATGCTGATCCCAGTGTGGGCAGCAGGGCAGGGATTGGGATTCTGCCTCTGTGCTCAGGTGAGACCCCACCTGCAGAGCTGCCCCAGCCCTGGGCCAGCACAGGCAGGAGCTGGAGCTGCTGGAGGAGCCCAGAGGAGGCTCCAGGATGAGCAGAGGGATGGAGCAGCTCTGCTTGCTGGGAGGAAAGGCTGGGACAGCTGGGAATGTTCACCTGGAGAGGAGAAGCTTTGGAGTGACTGAATTGTGACCTTGCAGGGCCTGAGGGAGCCTGCAGGAAACATGGAGAGAGACTTTGGACAGCGGATGGAGGGACAGGACCAGGAGGAAGAAATTCCTCCCTGTGAGAGTGGGGAGGCCCTGGCACAGGGTGCCCAGAGAAGGAACATTTTAATCTTTCAGATCCCGACTGCCACATCAGTGAATTCTGCCCTGCCTATAAAAATCAATGTTTCACTCACCTAGCACCATTTCTGTGTGTTCCATGGAGGGAAAAGTAATATCTACACCAATTTGCTATGCAAACCTTCCAGGTTATTTACTAAGAAATAACTAGAAGAGAAACAAATGAACACCAGGAACATCTTCCAAGTATGTCAAGAACTAGACCAGCTGACCTCTACCCGTGGCATTTAAGCAGATATTTAAAGAACAAGAAATTCTTCTGATTTCAATGGATTGGCAAAAGAAAGGTCAAGAGACAAGCAGGAAATCAACTGTTAATTACTGAAGAGAGGAGAACAGTAGAGGAGCTAATACAGAAAAATAAACATGGTTTTTGCACATAACAGAGGAAGAAGAAAGTAGAGGGAAAAGATCTAAGGAGGAAAATCTGCAGTGCCCACACCTCATCAGTCCTGTGGAATTACTGGAGACCAATTAATGAATTAATGGGTCCCCAAAGGGCAGCTCCCAGTGGGGAACAAGTGCAGCAGCTTCAAGGCACCAGTAAATACCAGTCTGTATTTAACATAACTGGTCCTGTTTCACAGCAGCCCCAGTGAGAGCAGCACATCCTCCCAGGCAGGCAAGTGGGGCCTTCTCCCATTTAAATCTCCTTTTACTACTCTCCAAATCACATCCCAGCTCATTTAGAAGTTTAAGGTCAAGGACTTCATAAAACTAAACATGCTATGAGTAAATTAAAGGGCTTCTTCCCCCAGGGCAGCACTGACAAGGAATAACTGCAGCCTCTGTGTGTGCCCCTCTGCAACACCTGAACTACCCCAGAACCTGCAGGAACTCACCATGGCTGGGCAGGGAAAGCACTGAAAGAAACTGAAACTCTGCCAAAGGCAGACAGCAAACAGGTAGAAAAATCAGAAATTAATCTGGAGAAGCCTCTTTCCAGAGGGCAACATCCCTGCAGTGTTGTTGAGCAGAGAAACGCTGGTAGAAGGCACAAATCAAAATGAGTAATATCCCAAAACGTTATCTGGGAGCAATCCTTGCAGACTGCCAGCAGTACAAACAGCCAGGCTGTTTTATTCATGGATTATTTGTATTTGTTGTACAATAGGGCCCCAGGAGATCCTCTCATAAGCACAGCAAAACAAGAAATAAAGAGCTTAAGCCGTGAGAATTTAACGATCTAAAGCATCAGGATATAAAAGCAGCCCGGGATGCTCCACACTCCATGCTTCCAGGAAAAGCAGCTGTTGCTCCACTCCAGTCAAGAGGAGAACACAGAGGAAGAGGAGTCAGTGTGAGAACAACCCTCCAGATGGGTGCCAGTGAAGGCTGTGGGTCTGGTGTGTCTCTGTGCACAGACCAGTCTGACACGGAGGGGCAGCTCACAGGGTCCCAAAAATGCAAGCCAGGAACAGCCTCCTGTTCCTGAAACTCCTGAGGGCAAAGGAGGGCAGAACTAGCCAGGAGAACCCCAGCCTTTTCCCTTTGGGCAATTCCTGCTAAAATCCTTCCAGGCTACCCCAGGAAGCACTGCAGCCCTTCAGTGTCAGGACAGGGCACCAGGGAAACACAGCCCGACCAGGCTGAGGGGACGATCCTCAGGATAAAGAATCCTTCCACTGGGTGGATCTGAGATCCTGGTCTCAGCACACACCGACTGGCCCAAACCAGTAATCATGGAATCACAGACTGGTTTGGGTTGGGGCCTTAAAGGGCTTCAGTTTCAGCTGCTGTGGGCAGGACACCTCCACTGGAGCTCATGGCTGGAGCCAGTATCCAAACATCCTCAGAAAATGAGGGGATTTTGTCAGAGATGTGGCTTCACTCTGCACTGGAGGCTCTTCTTGTCCCCCTTGTCCCTGGGAGCTGTCACAGCTGCCAGGGCTCCCTGACTGGCTCATGCTTCCCTGCCTGTCCCCTTCAGAGGCTGGCAGTGCAGGGTTACGGGGCAGCTTTTTGTGGGGACAGCAAAAGCAGACTGGAAGCTGTGCCAGGGCAGGGTCAGCCTGGATCTCAGGGAAAGGCTCTTCCCCCAGAGGGTGCTGGGCACTGCCCAGGCTGCCCAGGGAATAGGCATGGCCCTGAGGCTGCCAGAGCTCCAGGGATGGCCAGGCTGGGATTGTTGGGGTGTCTGTGCAGGGACAGGAGCTGGACTGGATGATCCCTGTGGGTCCTTCCAGCTCAGGACATTCTGTGATTCCATGGAAAAGACCAAACTTTCTGTCTCGGGGTGTCTCATGCCCCAGTCCCACACCAGCAGTGCCCATGGTCAGAGCTCAGAGTCAGGACTGGGATCACCCCAACACGGACACAGCTCCTACCCCTGAGCTGAAGGCTCAGCTGAACCCCAGATGAGTCCCCAGGCTGCTGCACCCCTGCCCACCTCCAGCAGCTCCTCCTGGAACACACCAGGCTCCCTGGTCCAACCTGGAGAGCAAGGGGCCAGCTGCCATTGGCCAGCCGGGAGCACAGGGGCAGCACTGACTCTGGAGCCTCTTCCCAAGGCAGGGACACTATCCCTGGAAGCCATCCTCACATCCTCTAGCCTGTCTCATGTACCAGTGGATTCCTTTGCTCTGGCCCAGCCCCAGCCCCAGCCAAGGACACCTCACCAGAGGACTCAGTGTCACTCTGACAAAGTGCTCCCTTCCCACTCCAATAACCACGAGGGATTGAGGCTGCTTCTTTTTTATAATTTCTTTTTAATTCCCTCCTCCTCAACATTCATCTTTTCCTAGATCAAATGTAATTATTCTTCATGAAACAGCCCAGGTGTAATCCCAAGAGGAAGAGGGAACACATCACCTGCAAAGAGCAGGATGCTGGAGGGACATGGGCTTGGCTGGGGCAGGGGAGCAGCTCCCTTCTCCAAGGCCCTTACCTTGGATCCTGTGACTTGAACTCTTTTGTTCAGGCAGAATATCAATGTCCTCCTGTTTGGAAATAAATAGAACTACACCCAGATTTTTGTTTCAACTGCTGGCTTAGGCTCAGGTATCCTGAACACTCACATGGATTTCTTAGGTACTGATAGAATTATTTTATTGTCATTTCATCCACAGACTCCTCCACAGAAATCCCGATTTTTGCAGCTAATGAATCTCAACATTCTCAACAGAAACACAGCACAACTGGATGAAAAAAGCACTCTCGGGGGGAGGAAACGATGGTGCCAGCTCTAAACAGAACCTGCCCTTTGTTTCACACAACTTCACAGCCCTTTCAGCACCGGATGAGGAGCAGGAACCACTTCAAAGGCAGCTCCTTCCATCAGGATTTTCTTCTCTCTTCAAGAAAAGGCTCCACTTGCAAAAAACCCCTTCATGACACATTCTCCGAGCTTCTGAGCTGGCAGGAGCCGCTGTGCCCGTGGCACGGGCGGTGGCTGCAGCCCGAGCCTGCCCGGGTTATGCAACGGCTCCCAGCGCTGAATGCAGATATCAAAGCCATTTTCACACTTGGAAATTACTTGTCACAGCGTTGTAGATCGGGGAAAAAAAGCCCCTGC